TGCAGTGTCAACTCTACACTAAAGACGAACAAAGATTAGATACAGTGTTTATATTCTGTACATACAACGTTGTTTTGGTTATTCAAGTAAAAAGATCTGTTATAAAAATCAGTATCTGATTATTATATACCTCATCGTATGATTTCCAGTACACAACAATTACCTCAATATAAAAAAAGATATACAAAGCAAAAAGGTGTTTTCTATTATATTATAAACGTACTTACTTATACATCCCAAAAGGTGTTTTTACATGTGAATCCGATTTCTTCTGATTCGTATCTCTAACTCTTTCTAAGTTCAGTATATATCTCATAATATTAAAAGCTCTTTCATATACATGTAAATATTTTTCTCTTTAAAATTCTTTTTCATCAGTATTTCTCTCCCTCTCTCTCTCCCTCTCTCTTTCTCGCTATTTGTTCAATTTACTCATAATTATTTTTCTCTTCTCAGTTTTTTTCTTTTCCAACCATTTTTCACCTGTTGTTCTATTGAAGTCGTATATACTTTGAAAAGATGCTTAAAGATAAAAGGCATATTAACACAATATAAAGCGAACACAAGTAGTAAATGAGTACGAATTAACATGGATGTTATTTTTATGAATTAGAAATGGTAATTTTGTAAAAAAAAGTCTTCACGCTGCCAGATTACTGATATAATGTGTAGAATTGCACAAATTAAGAAAACAATCCTAATCATTAGAGAAAACGGTTAATGAACGCTAAAGATGAGATTACACAAGCGAGATATTTTAACGCTATATTTGATGTGAAAGCATTAATTCTTCCGGCTATAAACAACAATCATTAGTTCATTAATTAGTCGATCAATCTAGTATCGTCTTAGATAACAACTATACCATAAAAGCCAGAAAAATGAGACAAACAGGATGTATCATGAAAATGAATAAACTAAATAATTTATTGGCTATTACTTACCATCATTACATTCTACAACTAGGACTCAACCTTTTATTTCTCTTTATATGATGTTATTAAGCACCCCTGTCTCCGATTCGAGAAACTTTTTAATATCGAGTGGTGAATGCTTAATCGATATGTAAAGTAAAGGCGTATACTTAAACTCTAGTCTGTCATTTAAAAACAACAAATAATATATAATATCCTAATTGATCGTATTTGTAGTAGATAAAATCAAACGTTTGTTATTCCCTATACATCCACATACACGGGTGACAAATAGATAATAGGATGTAATAAAAATATATTGTTTCTTCTCTTCTCTTATATAATCCATATCTGTCATTTTTCACTAACAAAGTACACACCACCACTAAGAAAAAATATGTTATGAAAAACCAAGAAAAAACTAAGGAAAAATAAAAGTAGAAAACGTTCCATCTTCTACATATACATCAGCGCTACCTGTTTATTCTTGTTCAATAATAAATTTGTAGATCAACAACCATGTTAAAAACGACTTTGAGAGCATCTTTGCTGAACATGAACTCTGCCAGAGATTCACTCGTTAATTGAAGCATATAAAAACCAGTGTCAAAGTTGATGGTGCAGATCATGGATTTTCTCTTCTAACATACATGTTAGAGGGAATATTTCTGACTTCTTCTTTCTCAAGTAACACGAATATTCAAAATCGAACAAAAATCTATCAATAACGATTATTGTTGCCTCTAGAGAGATATTCTGATAATAAGATATTATACGGAAAACAAAAAGTAAAAGAAAATCATGGGTACCTTCTGCCATCAAGATGACAGTTGGATATATCATCATGAAACAAGAATGTGATTAAACAAGTTATATGAATAAAAAACAATCAATGGTAAACAAGACGAAGTTGATGTTGTATGTTAGATGACGTATTCATAAATAGAAATTCTTTATATATATATATATACATGAGTGTACAGAAAACTTATTAAAAGGTTACAGAAGAAAGAAATATGAAGACAAATGTTGATTATGTCTTGACAATTTCAATTATGCATATTTTTAAACTCATCGAAGTCTATACGAGTATAGTCACTGAATTGATTATTGCTATTTTTTGGACTAAAATGATACCCACAAGATATGTCAATGCTTATCGTCTTAGAAATAATACTGAAGTTTTACTGTTGTGCAAAAAAAAATCCACTTAAAAGCAAAACTTTGTAGCAATTATCAACTTCTTTTCTTATTTTTATGTAAAATTGTTTTAGTGTGCAATATTGCACACATGAAATGGATCCTGAGTGATTTATTGGAGATAAAAACAAAGAAAACGCCATGAAATATAGATGTAGGAAGAAAGCATAGAAGATTGAGTGTAATGATATAAAACGTAATTATATAGAAGTGGAACATATTTCTTTTCGCTGTAGCGATTATATGAACGTGAAAAGAGTGAGAAGAAAAGCATTATTTGACGATTGAATCACAAACAAAGTTTTATTTTCATTGTTCTAGGCATCTGCATGGAATACGACCATATTTGGTCGTAAATCGTCTTTACGATCGTACGCATAATATTGGATGTTGAGAAAAACACCTTTTTATACTATTATATTTTCAGGAGGATGCCTGAACACTCATTAAATAAACATGTAACAAACACGGATAATTTGAAGAGCTTGTAGTCAGCGATAGACTATTTTTCGTGTGCAACATTTGCTAATTATCTGAATAAAATCAAAAAAATATTCGGACTGAACTCCACTCCATAAATAATATACTTCGCGAAGAATTAAAACCATACCCAGGTCAATGAATCCTATGTAGGATCCTACAGATGATAGGATATCATAGGATTCCTACAGGAATCTTATGAATTTCCTATAAAAATTCTATCATAAGATATTATATGAATCTTACCATAGGATCGTAACGAAAATCCTACTAGGATTCTTATTGTAGGATTCCTATAAAATCCTATGAAATCCTACGACAGGATTTCATAGGATTCTTATTTTTCTCTGTTCTGTCGTCTTTTCTATTCACGGTTTTGTTTGTCAGAGAAACAGTTATAAATGCGACGCTGAAAAAATAAAAAGTCTAGTTGAATAAGCTCAATTTTTCGCATTGAACAGTATGAACATCAACATGGAAGCTCACTCACTGTTCTTGGGTTCATCCCAGTCCTGATTCAGAGACTGGGAAAGAACCCAAAGGAGAAAAAGTAAATAAATAAAGCTAGCAGTAAATAAACAGCTGATTTAAGACTGAATATTTTTTGGTTTCCAATATGCCAGGATTCCTATCAAATCCTACGTAAGATCCTATAAGACCTTGCGTAGGATTTGATTGGATCCTACGACAGGAAAGTATAGGATAAATCCAAGACAAAGAATTCTTACGTCTTTCCTACAAGATCCTATGTGGATTTGGTAGGATCCTACGTAGGATCTTGTAAGAATCTTGTAGGATCCTATGGTAGGATTGCTTGATCTGGGTATACACAAAGCGTAGCAAAGATGCAAATATTAGCAGAAAAATACAAAATGAGGAGGAAACTTTATTTTTTTAATTATGGTGAGTGTTCCCCTTGACTTCTTCAAAAAAAAAGCGATTGTGACTCATACGTGTAGGCGCCAGTCTGTCATATCCTTTTCTAACAAAATAGTCTTCTACAACCTGTAAAAAGTCAAAACTTCGTTCCCTTTTACTTTATCTATATTGACGACAGCGTCAATCAGCACTTTTTCTCCAAGTATTGTGAATGAACATACCTTATTGGCCTGTGAGGTCGTCGAACCAGTCTGATTAATTAGGAGTCCATGTTTTACCATCATCAAAATTTCTGACATTTGGTTTAAAATCCATTCAGATGAATGATTTCTGCTGGTCATAATGTCTGTGAAGCTCTACATTTTTCTGCTGCAAATTATTTCCAAAAAGATGATGACAAGAATATCCAAGCAAGAAAAGTGTTTTCTTCTCGTCTCATGGTGTTCAAAAGTCAAAGGTTTTTCAGCCACCTGTAATTCGGTAACCACATAACATACAATTGAGATTTTTGAGTGGCAGTGAGGATACTTGAGAAGAGTAAAATACAAAAAATAATCTGGTCTACTCAGTAAAAAAATTACGAGTTTTACACATCGTAAATCAACGGTACAAATCACTTGTATGATGATACAAAGTATGTAATTGTATGATGGTCTAAATGAGGAATCTTGCATACCCAAATTACTTTTTTTTTCACTACTTCTAGTTTTAACCTTAGTTATCTTATTTATTTTCTTTTTTATTACTCTTTTTGTGTTGTTTGGCTTGAGTCATTTATTACAGGTCAGTGACCTTTGATGACTCTCTCACTTTTCGTGAATAAAACAGTCTTAGTCTTAGTCTTCCTCTATCTAGACATGTCATGGAATGTATAATGATTGAACCATGAGTGTGCCGAGGTTATTTGTTTAGACTGTTCGTCTCACAGTTAGAGATGTTAGCCGATTACTTTATCGGCGGCGGTGTATCAAATTGAAAACTTTATCGGCGGCGGCGGCGGCGGCGAAAAACTAAAGAAATATTTTCCGCCTTTGGCGGCGCTACGGCGTGAAAATTTGAAAAAAGTTATAATTTTCAATAAATTTTCTTCGAGCAGGTTTGAAAATGTTTCGAGTCAGCGGCGGCGGCGAAAAACTTCAAAAACAAATTCTGCCTGCGGCGGCGAGAAATTTTAAAATTTTTTTCGTCGGCGACGGCGACCCGGCTAACACCTCTACTCACAGTATCATATTATCACTGAAATATTCTCTATTTTAACTGACTGTGAACATTGAATCTAGTTGAAACAGCGTTATGAGATTAATAGTTTTATTTTTACTCATTATTTGCTGCTCTTCCTCGTTCTTAATTTCTCCAGCTCCCTCTTGCATGCAAGGTAAGAATTAATGCGCTGGTTTTGAAAAAAATGAAACAAATTCGTCTGTTGTGCAAAAGAGACAACCAGATCAAATGAACGGTTCTGTCAAAAAGCGTAACATCGATAGAGAAATTTTGTCTAAATGTTGTCTTTCTCTCTGATTATTTCAGATGTTAAACATTCCATCCACATTCATTTTTCTTTTTTTCTTTGAAATACATTCCGTTATTAGTACAGCGAATATTGATCAGTTTTATTCCTTATCGAATGATGATATTCCATCTCCGTTTGTTGATGACCCGTTTGAAAATGACGAACAGTCGATAGCAAATCACTCTATTAAACGTCGACAAGTATCATTAAACATTTTGACAAGTCAACAAGCCCGTCTACCGATAGTTCCTTCTTATATGATATTTGGTCCCCGAACGATCCGCCCAGCTGAAAAAGTGGAACTGAGTGTCACAATCTTACGTGATGACTGGAATCCAATGACGGTCAAAGCATTAATATCAAACGACGATATGGATGTGGCATCGGTAGAAGAAACATTTTATACGAATGTTCCAAATTCTCTCGTTATGATGATACCACCAAATGCTCGTATGGGAACGTATCGGCTCACATTAGTAGGAAAACTATCGAGTGGTGAACAAAAATTTTATAATCAGTCAGAGTTGTTATTTGATCAAAAAGCTGTGTCAATTTTAATACAATTAGATCGACCCGTTTATCGTCAGGAAACAGTTGTACAATTTCGATGTATTCCGGTGTACCCGGATTTAGCAGGCTATTACGGTACAATAGATGTTTACATGATCGGACCCTCTGGACATACTCTCCGAAAATGGGAAAATATGCAAACGACAGCCGGTATGATTAGTTTAGAATATCCGATTAACGATGCACCACCGGAGGGTACTTGGACAGTTAAATGTCGTGTTATGGGTTACGAGGCAACAAAAACATTTGAAATATACGAGTTTTATAGTAGAAAGTTTGAAGTCAATGTCACGGTTCCATTTTATATACCAGCGGATGCTCCAGGTGTTTCGGGTATTGTTGTTGCCAATTATTCAACAGGAATGGGTGTTCAAGGTTATGCTAGAGTTTATGTTCGTGCTCGTGATATGACACAATTATATGATCCAAGAAATAATCCATTACCTGATGTTGAATTCGATCGAACAACACCGACATTTGTCTCATTTATTGATGATTTCAATGGTGTTGCTTCATTTTACGTACCAATGTCAACGATACGTTCACTTGTACCTAATTTGGATGGAAGTGAAATTTTGATTACGGCAACGGTACACGACCCATGGTGGAATGAGACAAATAACGGTAAGTCAGTGATGTTAATAAACTCTGTTGTCCTGGTTGTAAAAAAACAGTTGATATTGTTTATATTTATTTATAGGTACAACTGTGGTATCATTTTATCAACCAGGCACATATCTGAACTTTTTGGGAGGTGCTAGTATGGTTTTCAAACCGAGAATGTTATATACAACATACATCGCCGCTGTTAATTCCGATGGTTCTAAATATAGACCTGGTCCAGGACGTTTTATTCGTGTATATACAAATACAGATTTGGGTCAATCACAAGCGTATCAGGATTATCCTATTGATAATACAGCTATTGCACAACATCAATTTTTGGCTCCCAGTGATCCATCTATAACAATCTTAATTATACGAGCTGAATTATATGATAACAATATTAAAGTACAAAATAGCGATGTTGAACAACGTGCAATTCGTTATTTATCGCCAAGTAACAGTTATATACAAGTAACATCGAGTACATCAAATCCAAAAGTGGGTGATTTTATGATATTTCGTGTAAATATTACACAATTTACTGAAGCTGTCTATTATCATATAACATCAGCAGGACGTCTGATATATACAGATATATTGCGTATGGATCAATCGAAACAGAAAAGTTTCGATGTAGGTGTCACTCGAGAAATGGCTCCGAGTGCTCATATCATCGTATATTATATACGCTACGATGGGGAAATAGTAGCTGATAGTATGAATTTTCATGTGAATACATCATCTGTTACAAATCATGTCAATATAACGGTTAATAGGCGAAAAGATTTTACTGGCAATACTATTGAAATACTAGCTTATGCATCACCACAATCATTAGTGGCATTTGCTGCGTTAGGTTTGCCTCAGTATCGTCTGTTTCCACCGGGAAATCATTTTGATCCAATTGCTGTAAGTATTCATTCCTCTTTCTAAATGTACAAATAGTCGAGAGTATTTAAATTTGTTTCTTTTTATCAGATATATGATGAATTATATTCGTTTGACCGATATGCTACTCAAAGTTTTCAACAAACATGGAATCAGGAAATGAATGTACCTTATTCACGTGTCTTCTTTCCATCTCAGTCGTATGGTTATGATGCTGGATCTACATTCAATTCAACTGGATTGCAATTATTTACCAATATAGAGATAAAAGCTATTCAGACTGCTTGTACACAGTCTGGTTTATTCCAGTGTAATGATGGTAATTGTTATGCGCCACCGCTTCGTTGTAATGCAGTTATTGACTGTCGAGATGGTGCTGATGAGGCTAACTGTAAGTGTTAATAATTATTTTTCTAAAATATCTACGTTTTTCAACACAAAAAAATTAGCACTTAATCCCGACCATGAAAGAAATCATTGTTGGCTTTTTTATGGCGCTTTAAACGCTATACTTTTATTTCTTTTCAGGTAATTATACAAGAAGTGGTCGGTATAATTTTACGCCATTATCAAGACGTTTATGGCCATACTGGGAGCGCGAATTACAACTTCATTTTATGTGGCATCAGCAATTTGCTTATCCTGATGGTCGTGTTCAATTTCGCATAGCAGTTCCCAATGTCATCGCCAGTTGGGTCATTACAGCTGTGGCCGTTAGTCGTTTAACTGGTTTTGGTGTTCTTGATGTTCCACATATTTATGAAGGTACACGACAATTTTTTATTAAAGTTGAAATACCACCTATTGTTCGCTTTGGCGAACAAATCGGCGCACGTGTTGACGTATTCAATTTTCAATCTCATCGTATCGAAGCATTAATTATTTTGCATGCATCTGATAAATATCGTTTTGTTAATTTGGATCAAAATGGTTTAGTGTCATCATATTCACCAAGGTTAACTGATGGTCAACATCATGTTCTAATCATACTTTACCCTAATGAAGTTCGACGTATATCAATACCATTTGTTCCTATTGTTGCTGGTGAAGTTGAAGTGATGATCGAAGGTATAACGGGTGTATCAAGGGATTTTTATCGTGAAATAATCAAAGTGAACTATGAAGGTGTTAGAAATTATTATCATACACCAACGGTATTGTTACTCAATAATTTACCAAGACAAATGAATGAATATGAAGTGAATGTGACACAAAATTTTATATTGCCGTTAAAAAATTTTTTTTTGTATATTCCTGGTTCAGCCACATGTGAAGTATTCGTTTCCGGAGATGTCGCTGGTCCCTATTTTCTTCTCGGATACGATGAATGGTTAAATACTGATAATTTGATAATGCGAACAACGGCACCAGCCGATTCTGGTATATTTGATTTTTCAATGATGGTCTATAATTTAAAATATATGTTACAAGGTAAAAAGTTTGATTGTAAAAAGCTTTTTAAAAGCTTGACATTTTTTATTGTCTTTGATCAGGTCATGGTGGACGAGCATTTGACAACGAAAAATTAATGAAAGTGTTGACCTTTGCTAATATGGAATATTTACGCTTTATGGCCATGTATATTGGTGATAATATTGAAGATCCATGGAGAAAAGGATCATTTAGTGAATTTGGTTTTTCAAATGAATCCTCTATATGGTTGACATCATGGGCACTTATGGCATTAAAAGATGCTGTTTATCCAGAATGGGAAGAAAAAGCACTTTACATTGATCCAAATTTACGTTCGGATATTGTAGCGTTTCTTTGTCTAACTCAAACAATAAATGGTTCTTGGGCTGAATTTATAACACCGAATGATCGTAATAAATTTGGTTTACGTGTTACAAATATTAGTAATATGTTTCAACAATTAAATTTATCGTTGACGGCACAAGCCATTATAGCATTAAAGTAAATATCCTTAAACTAGTAGGCATAAACATTTAAAACGATCAAATGTTTCATTTTAGATTGAACACAGATATACGTGGACCAGCTGCTAGATTAATAACCGGTGCTATTGATCGTGGAAGATTATGGTTAGAAAAATATTTTCGAAGTATTACCGATGCGTTTGATATGGCTATTGTAACATATGCATTACACGTAACGAATAGTGCTGATCAAAATGCCGCATTTCTTCTACTAGATAAATTTCGACAAACAAGTAAGTTTATTTATCAAACTACAGAAGTATCTGTTTCAGTAAAAAAACTTCTTTTGACTAGGATTTACTGATCGAAACACTTGTTTATCGTCATTTTATTTTTATTTTTTTCAGATGAAAATGGTATATATTACTCAAATCGTAAAATACCTGGTATGGAAAAAACATGGCCTAATATAAATCCGCGTTATGGTCCAAAACCCGTACAAAGTGATTGGGAAGCACATGCTGTGGCCGCAACAGCCTTTGTCTTAATGACATATACACAAAGAGCTACAGCAAAAGAAGCTGAACAAATAATGTTATGGTTACAATCGATGCGTAATTACATCGGAGGATGGGGAGGTAACTGTCATTTTTTATATTAAATCAATCTGATACCGTTTCAATATTCTTTATATTGATTATTTTTTAGCATCTTATGATACGGTTATTGCTCAACGAGCTATTGTCAGTTATTCTGTTCTACGTGGTTATGAAATAACAAATTATAATATACGAATTAATTTGACATCATCATCATCAGGTAATAAAATACGAAAATTTAGTATTAATTACTTGCCTGTACGTTGTGGTTTTTTATTATTCTTTATTAGCTGATCAGGAACATGAGCCTATTGTTATCACTGACGAAAACTTAATTGAAGCTCAAGTAAGAAGTGTACAAAATGTTTGGGGTGTATTATATGTTGATGGTTTTGGTAATGGTTACGCATTAGTACAAGTAAGTTTAATAGTTGAACAAACAATAGAATGATTATTTTTATTTATATTTGCTCTTCTTTTCGTTTTTTACTAGATGCATGTCGGCGTTAATGTTGAATTTCCGTTTTATGTTCGTCGTCCTGACTATGAAGCATTCCGAGTTGATATCGTACCATATTTAAGTGGAAGAAATTTTTCTACAATCGATTATAACGTATGCCTTGGATGGAATCCTAATAATGTTATAAAATTAGGAGCAACACGTAGTGGTACGGCTGCAATCGAAATACAGATACCAACTGGTTATCGTGTTGAAGAACGTGATTTAAAAGTCTTAATACGTACATTTACTATAAGAAATTTACGAGAAGCTGAAAATTGGCCAGGACAAATTAATTTTCTATTTGATTATGTTGATGTTGATCCAATATGTTTTCAATTTCAAGCTAAACGTTGGTTACCGGTGGCTAATGTTTCACGTTATTATGAAGTTAGAGCATATGAATGGCTGGAGCCGGGAAATATGAATCGATCTGTTTATCAGTTGAGAAATTTATTTGGATTAGATATCTGTGAAGTATGTGGAAGTTATCAATGTCCATATTGTCCATATTATAGTGGTGCTAGACTTCTTCAATATTGTCAATATTTATTTCTTATTATTAGCGTCTTTCTTCTTTTCTTAAAAACTTTCTCCTTTCGTCAAGGACATCACGATATTTATGTATAACAAATTTTATATATTGTCTTATTCTACTGTCTGTTATTAATTCAATATTCATTTCTCTAGCTACCAGATATTCAGATCTGGCCATAGTTTATTGCTTTCCATTTTTTCATTCCTTCTACTTTTCACTGACATTCCATTTATTATGATCTTATTTTTAAGCTCATTCTATATATTAATTTTTTAATAGCTTGTCCTGGTAATTTTTATTTTTCATCAGAAAACTAACAATTCAATTTAAAATTCACAATCTCATTTTCTTCATGTTCCAAAGAAGAAAAAAAAAGCAAATTCACCCTATATAAGGTGTGCAATTATTAAAAATTTTTGTTATTTTACACTTTTTGGAATCTCATTGTTATTCTCTCCGTTTTTATGTAAGATTTATATTAGTTTTATATCTTTCTGTTTTTTTTTTCTCAAATTAAGTCCAATTTAAGTCTCACTTCATCTCAATAATGTACTCATGTGTATAGCATTTTTGTCAAATATAATCTTTTTTACTTTTTCTAATTTCAATTGAATGTGTGTGATGAATTTATTAATTCACGGTATTGGATAATGTTTTACTCGCTGTTTTTTTGTATACTTCATTTTTTTGATGATGGTCTACTTTTTTTTTTTTGTAACAAATTTTGTACATATCTGTTTGGGTCTTTTTTATACATCATTTATTTTATGTAATGTATGCCTATTTTGGTCAACTTTTTTCTTTATATATGGCGTATTGTTTAATAAAATAGGATAAAATATCCTTTAGGTTTTCATTTTTATCAAGGATTCAAGTTTACTCAAACTGTGATTATCACTCTACAAACTGGTTTACTAAATAATTTCTATTTCGCTTACTGTTTAACATTTGTTGATTCTTCTACGCATTAATCTAGTGTGGAGTAGCTAGGAGTTGTCTGAAAATGAGTGGTACAAGGACCTTTTCTTTTATAGCACACTTTCGTAAAAAATACATTTTTCTATTTATATTAGAGATGGGTGATAGAGACTACTTTTTGCCCGCTTTCAGAGATCTGTCCATAAACTTTCTGTCTCGTCGCCATCTCGTCCATAATCACTTCTTAAAAAAATGTGTTTATTTTTCTTTTAAAAAAAAATGACTTCAATAGTATAGAAGTCATATGTTGGACGAGAGTAAGACTAGAGCAGAATTAGAGAACCATAAAATCGATTCAATAAGCGAAAGAAAGATGTGAGAAAAAAAAATAATATAGTTTTTCATATTCTTGATTATTATTATTATAGCGTAACGTTTCACAAGAATCCTTGTTCATCGCTCACCTCTGTTTTGTACTCTTCACTTTCTTTGACTGTGATCCTTCTTAGCAAGTTTGCTGTAGTAAATTAAATTCATGAATTTGTTCTCTGAATATACTTCTAATTTTAATCGAGACTAAATGCTATAAATTCATTTAAGATTATGGAAAAAGAATATCCATTACATTGGTATGTTTGGCATAATGAACCAGAAAAATTAGAAAGTATTCTAAAAGATACTAAGGTAATATTTAATATTTAATTTGTTTGTTTGCTTTTTATTTCTGATAGTTTCTGTCGTTTGTTTTGTAGGAATCTATTGAACAACTCGATCCAAGACACCGAACACCAATCCAATTAGCGGTCTGTCTAGGACGATTGGAATGTGCAAAAATTTTAGCTCAAAATGATGCCGATTGTACCGTTGTCTCAAAAGATGGATGGAATCGTATGTTATCATGTATATTAGTCAATTGTTTGTATCTATTATTTTTTTCTTGTTTTTAGTTTTACAAGAAGCTGTTTCCAATGGAAATCAACCATTAATCAAATTAATAATGAAATATCGCAATTATCAAAGAAATAAAAATAGAATTCATGGTATTCCCGATTTACTTCGAAAATTAAAAGAAGTAAATAATTTCTGAAATAAATTAGCATAAATTGGGCACAACGACATGTATCACTCTTTTTGTTTAGTCTGAGTTTTATGTCGAGATGAAATGGGAATTTACAAGCTGGGGTGAGATTGAAGTTTATTTATTTTATCCTAAATACATACGCATCTCATTTATTTAACAATAATTCTTGTTTTTTTATTGTTTAGTTCCACTTGTGTCAAAACTATGTCCCAATGATACTTACAAAATTTACAAAAGTGGTAAGTGCCTAGTCTTATTTCAACTGTATGCATTTGTAGCGTGAAAATACTTTTTCAATAGGACCAAATGTTCGTATCGATACAACTTTGTTGGGAATTGAAGGTACAAATTGGCAACGTGGCAATCGTACATTAATCTTTTCGTTACTTGGTATGTATCAAATGGAAAAAAGATGTGTGTAAGTGTTTTAGAATAATAAGTCGCATATTTTTAGATGATTCAGCAAAGATGCTCGATATCGATCATGAAACGCAGACAGTATTTATTGAAAATCTGACCATGCCCGGTGAAGAACCACTACTAATTGATCCAGATATCGAACAGATTGACTCAAAATTATCATCGCCAAACATGACAGGTTCGTAAATATGTGTTCAGACTAAGCACTTCTTTATTTTTCACCTAGTTCATAATCTGTTGAAGTAATTGTTGAACAAATAATGACGAATGATGTCATGACTTATCCTACTTTTGTTGCTCGCTATACTCTCTTTTTCGTACGATTTTTTTTCCCCGTCTATATATTGGATATGTCATGTTTTCTTAACTACTTTTCGTACTGTTTTCTTTTTTAGTTTATTTGGATGTTGATAAAATTGAATTTGAAAGGTATGTCTATTAGAGGCTAGAGGGTTTTTTTTTGTTTAATTTTCATTTTATTACTTAGGAGTAAATCTGGCGTATGGGGTATGCGATCGGAAAAAACTGAAACAATCAATGGCTATCCGTGTAAAGTTTATTCGGTACAAAATTTTGCACTTGTAACGCGTACGCGTGTTGAACATATGACAGCTGAAGAGAAAAAAGCTCATGAAGCAGGAAATACGTCGAATAAAAATTTTCTGGGTGGATTAACTTCTTTTCTTGAATCCTCATCCTCGTCATCCAAACCAGCAACAACAACAACAATAAAATCAAACATACCGGCAACTACTCAGGTACAACTAAACACTTTTTGAATATTCGTGAATGTGAAATAGTGTTCATTTAATTTAGGAGCAATCCAGATCATCAGCAAGTGCATCGGCAAGTGCATCAGCATATACTGAAACGTCTACAACATCCACACATCAGCAGCAACGGTCAGTAACAGCTGAAGAATATTTTAATCCTCGTGTCGATTTAAAATACCGTGATGTTGGAAGGCAGCGTGAAGAAACAGTAAAAACTCAAACATTCAATGCACAGCTTAGTTTATGTGATAATTATCCGCTGAGTTTACAAGAACAGATACTTCCAATTATTGATTTAATGGCCATTAGGTAGATACATCGTACGCTTAATTATTCTTGTCCATATTACATTTAACGTAATTTAATTTAGTAATTCACATTTCAAAAAGTTACGTGACTTCGTCACCTTACAATTACCACAAGGATTTCCAGTAAAAGTTCGTAAGTGTCTAAATATATCACTTTTTTTTCTATACTATTTCGTTGTGTATTATTTAGAAATTCCATTGTATCATGTTTTAACAGCCAAAGTGACATTTGGAAACATACATGGAATTGACAAACCTGTTCAGGGCGTTTCTACAATAACAGATGATGCCACTGGTTCATTTTGTGCTGTTGATGAAAATATTTTTAGCATACCACCAGGTTATAGGCGACAAGGTAACTTAAGATATAGTGTTCTTTTTTAGTACTCTTATATTCTTATTTCCTTCTAGGAGAGGGAGAAGGTTTCCATCCACTTATGTATATGGATGACGATGCATTATTACAAATGGCTATTGAACGTAGTTTATTAGAATCATCTGGCAATGATGCAGTGACATTGTATGAAGCTTTAGAACATCCACCATTGTCTAACAGATTTATGCAAAGTAATAATGTCGATTATGATCTACAACGGTAAGTTAAATTCTCGTGCTTTAGTACAAATGTTGAGGAGTACAGGTGTGCGTTAAGATGGACTAAAAACTATCATAAATACAGTAGTTCTTTGAGTTACTATCACTTGTGTTTTACTGATTAATGTAACGAACTGGAAATTTTTATCTCAGTTTACGAACGTTTGAATGAACCAGATTATTTTTACTTTCCGTTGCAGGTAAAAAAGTATTTTGTTTATTTTAGTGCCTTAGAGGCTAGCTTATTAACATCTGGATTAAGTGAAACCGAAGTTCAAGAAGCATTAAGACAACATCAACAACAGCCTCTACTTGAAACAGAAAATATATCAGCGATCATGGAAATTTCAAAACGTGAAGAAGAAGAACGTTTAAAACGTTTGAAAGAAGAAGAGGAAGAATTTGAGAAAGTTTTACAACTTTCATTGCAAGAGAAATAGGCAAGTTGTATAGCACCTTTTAGCTAATCTAAATACGACTTAAACAAGAGCTATTTATTTTTTTTTCCAGTGTTATTTATAATTGGTCATGCTCCTGTTTTCTACGCTGTAAATTATAATGATCTACTCTTTGTCTGTATGTGTTGTTCAGTGATGCAGTTAATTCTGCTTACGTTTATTGTCTCCCCATTCTGATAATCGTTTGGGTGAGGTTTCATGAGAGAACCAGTACTCTATCATTCCATCCGATGAGTAAAAGTATTAGTTTGAGCAAAATTATTTAATAAACGGAAAATAAATGTTATTTTATTCTTTTTATAGAAAAACTCTATTGACTGTTAATAGATTACTTAACCATGTTGACAAGAATTTGATATTATATTGCATCACTGTTAGCAAGATTATTTCTTCAGATTGTTGCGTAAACTAGTTCCATTGCCTGGACACATAATATATGAATATATAGTAACTTTGTCGTATTTTTCTTCGAGAAACATGCTTGTTTTTCTTCTGTTGTGCTGATCTGTTTTATGTGAATTTTAAATAAACATACATGTTTTTTGTTGAAATTTTTTAATTTATTTCTCACTGTTAATTGTTTTTGTGTTTTTTAATTTTTCAATTTGTATTTATTTAAGCTGTTGTAACTTACTGCTAAAGAATTAAGAGATGTCTCTTTTTATTATTGTACGGCAAGAGTATGACACTCTTTTCCCCAATCATCTATTCTATAAATATAACTGTTTGCAGTCAACTAGAGAGATTGATATTGTAACTCAAGGAGTTTTCCAAAGGCTTTTTTTCCACTTAGAACCAGACCAGAGTAATCGATTAATACATAAATATTTATTGAGTAACAGGAACCAGTGAATCGGTTAACTGTTGTTATTACAATAAATCAAATGCTCTGGATGCTAACGACCTCATATTTTTCAAGTATGACGTGCATATGCCGTAAGTTTACCCACAAATGAAAATATCTTCCTAGATACGACTTTCAGCTGCTAAAAATATTAGAACAATTCGACTTCGCCATAGTTAGTGGAAGTGAGAAGAAAATCTTCAATCGAACAATGTCACTATATTTTTCCAGAAAAATGACAAGCATGAACAGATCATGTAGATAAAACAAGTTAGAGATAAAGAGTGCTGATAATGAAATCAGAGCAAAAGGAAATATTTTTTAGGCAACTAATGCCATGTCACTTCACTTATGAGCTTTCATCAGTTTGAGATGATATTGAACATTATGGAGAAAGTTTTAATAGTGGAAATAAAAATAATAAACAGATTCATCATTAAGAGAACGCTATACAAAAGACTATTAACATTATTGGCAATAAAAAACTAAACTTCGTGTGTTTTATGCTCAGAAAATAAAGTTGTTTGTCTACAAGATACTTTTTCAATTAGTTTTTTCTGCCATAAGTCATCTGGTAGTCCAGCCCAGTATGGTTTTGATTTGTCTGGAATTGTTATGGATGCCATTATTTTTTTAATATAATTAACTTTATCTTCATCAAGTAAAAAGTCTTCATTTTGAAGTTTTTCACTCCAGACGAAATCAGAGGTTGATTGAACTGTCGATAACGAGTTCGATGGATTATTTGATGAGTCCTACAACAAAGAACTAATAGTTTTCTGTGTGTAAATATTCTAATAAAGGAAAAACTGTATTATGTATTTACTTTTATCTGTTCAAGCTAGAACTATACTATTTGACTATCAATTACATGCCTGATTTTCTTCTGCGCTTCTCACACGATCGGTAGCAAATCTTAAGAATTCTTCATCTGGATCATCTGTTACTGTTTCATTCATGTTTATGGCATCAAAATCTTGAGGTAATAAAGAATAACCGAGTTGCTGCTCATCGCTCTCAGAGTGAACTAAATTGCCATCATTATTTTCCGCATCATCATCATCTGAACTAGTGGACGAATCAACAATAATATTATCGCTGTGAAACTTTCCCTTTCCGAGTCCTGTTTTTAACTGTTTTTCATCCGTAGATTTTGGTGGTACCATTATAGAAGTCTAATCTATAATAAAATTGTTAAAGTCTATATAATGTTATTAATTCTGAAGCCTTTAGAAACTATCATCTAAGAGATATTTTGAACGGTTTTCGGAGCTTCAGAGCCCTGTATCGATTTGCAAAATACGGCAAAAATATTCGTTTTTTATGCAAGAGTGACAGTTCTTCAATGGGTATATGCGCTCTGTTAGCTGACCAACGTGCATATCTGTAACCGGACGAGAAAATCTCATCAAGTGATTGGTCACTTTTTCCTCGAAGAATACTATGTTATAGTAGTGTTTGAACCTGATCACGATTCTGATATTCGTTTGTCCTCATAAGTCCCTCTTAAATGAGTTTATAGATCGGACTGAAATATAGAGGCATAATGAACTTTCAACAACACACATGTCATTGCTGCCAAATTGTAGAGCAAATCGTTTTACCCATATAGAAAAGTTTTTCAGCCCAGCAGATCAATTTCCTTAGAGTTATAAGACTTTCACGCCTTAGTCAATTACAAAAAACCGGACCTTCTACGCTTTTATTGCAGTGAAAGCCTAATAATTGAAAAGTTTTATAATCCTCAACCCATTAGAGGTGCGACCTGCTTGCGTTAAAAAGAGCACTTGAAAACTGACCTAAAAGGAGCTAGTATTTTACATCTTTTGTAGGTTTGCTGTTACGATAACAACGCAAATCAAAGCGTCAGATCTAATATTTGACAATAATAGACCTAACGCTCTTAACAACAAAACATATGAACATGTGTCGGATCCGAACCTAACGTCGATCACTCTGCATTGGACGTTAGAAATCAAGAATGCACCAACATTGGGAACATCGTATTTTGATATTAAAATGTCTGGGTTTTCAAAGTATATTCTGATTCCTGATCGAAAAAAGATCTGACTAGATGAATTTCATTGGCTAAAAATTTTTAAGTCACGTGTACATTTTTTAACCATCTGTTTTGATGTTTCAAAGAATTGCTATTATAATTAAGATAACAAATATGCCTCAACTATTTTTTGCTAAAAGCGGATCTTACACAGAGAGAGATGGCGCTACTATATCTAATAAAAGTCTAACAGAAAATCAAAGTATAGTAATTTTTACAAGGATATGAATGGAATGCGACGAGTCTACTGGGGCCTTAACTAATTGTTAAAGCTAAATGTTCTGCTACGCTAATATTGCCCTAAATTTACAGCTATGCAGCGAAAAAAATTTGTTTCCTGGATAACTATTAATCTGATATATCACAGTTAGAACCCTACAGGTTACGACTGTTTGATAATCTAATACCCTATTATAATCTTCACAACCTATACCTAACCTAATCTATTAAAGTTTTTCGTAACCTAATCTTGGTTAACCTAATATAACTTATGTAATTTTTTCCCAAAATCTGATTTCAGAAGCCAGTGGTGGGTCTGGAATTTTTTCAAAGAAGAAATAATTTCTTTTGGACAGTCTCCGAGGTGGTGTAAGTTTTTTTTAAGTTCGCGTTTGAGGTAATGTAAGTTTTTCTGAATTTTTTTTAAACGGCACCTTCATTAAAGATAGAAAATTGCGAATTTTTCAGCACTTGAAGAATTTGGAAAGGGAAGGGAGAGTACCTTTCGCCCTCACGTAGATCCGCCACTGTTAGAAGCCTAAACTTTAGCTTTATTGCAAATCGTTGTTATTCCTTATCTAAACAGCGTCTGATAGAAAAGATTATACAAAATAAATCACATTTTAATGAATAAGGAATTGAATCGCTTAAGTCTTTTATTCTTTAGTGCAACGTTTAAAAAATAGCTTTCTGAGTAGGGAGACCACCTTAAGAACAGACCAGAATTTCACTTTAGGCTCTCCACACTTCCAAGGTTCTGTTATTGTTGTGAATTTGCCATCTATTTGTAACAAACGTACGTTTTTTCTTTGTGCTTCCTTTTTTGATTGTGCCATTTTTCACTTTAAACTAGAGAATCTCAGTCTGAACTTTATCGATTGAACAATAAAGTTACTCTTAAACGGTTCCAGAATTACATCCGTTCGACTAGTACAAGTAAAATTGCATAATCCAAAACTGTCGGGCTCGAATTACGGCATCTAAATCAAGTTAAACAAAAAGAGTTTTTTGCAGGAAACAAAAGGTCAAAATAATTGATTATAGTCTCTCATTGGGGATATAGACAATCTCTGATTTGTTTATTCGATACTCTCATATATGGAAAAATATAGAGTGGGGACGGAAGTCACCGACTAACTCGTAAGACGCTAAATTGTGCTGCAAAGTAGTACGTCTGTTCATATGTATAGTTTGACTATAAAAGCAGTGTAAATATTTTACCGATTGCGTGTTTGTTATCATTAGATTAAAATAAACACAGATTGTCTATCACACATTTGTATTTGTACACTAATTGTTTCGCAAAAAAAAATTTCTTATTCTCGTTTTTCTTTCTAATTGCAAAAAAATAATTCATAAAAAATTAATATATAAAAAGTTGAGTATTTATTTAGTTCTAGTGAAAACAGTGGAAGGTGCTTAACCTTGTGGGTGCGACGTAATTTTTATTTAACAAGTGCTCTTTTTCATACTGTCACTCCTATCAACGCACCTGTCTATAAAAATTTAATTTCATCAATGCACCTAAATAAACGAAAAATAGAATAAGAGATGTGTTACTATTATTCTGGCACTGAGCAAACAACATTGTATAGAAATCTCATATAGATAGACACACACGGATGGAGAAGGTACCATTCTACAAAATAGTATCTATGACTACTTTGATAGTTGGTAGAATTTTGCCATAATTCTGTGGATATCTGACCTTTTTTTATTATTTCTGTGCCATTTTCTAATAGAGCGAGAAGAGATCTATTTTCGAATTTCTCAGCTGATGTCTACATTAGTTGTCATTTATGATAAGAACTACTGTTAATATTCATATAGGGTTATGAAAGGATTTAGGTGTAAAAAAAAATTAGAAATGAAACACACCCACACAGTATATTTTTTTCTCAATAATAAAATCAAACAGTAGGTAATAGCTATAATCCTGTGTACACAATACGGTGAAAATTTTTCGTCAAACGATTTCAAGTTTTGGTTTGCATTTTTTTTTTTTTTTTGTATGTTTCTAAATGGAAAAATGTGATAAAACAACAACGACATGAATACGTATACCCACTTTTCTTCTCAAGTTGTAATTTGAGAAAATCGGAAAAATTATTATTTAACAAAAAAAATAAATAAAAGAAAATTGAATGTGAAATAAATTTCATTTAACAATTTATTATAAAGATATACCAAAATCATGTTGTCTTCCAAGGTAATTATACATAAGGCTTGCTGTGGCATTTAATAGATGTAAAAAAAAATATGAAAAACGTTTTAGATCCGTATGAAAATGTGTCAGTTATTACACGTTGAATAACTGGATTTAAAGTCGAAATTGAAACTATGTTTACATATTCCTAGAGTTTATAGTCAATCGTATCGCCTGATATGACTAATTTGACTCTTTCGTATAAGATAATTGTTTGAAGTTCTCTACATAAAAACATATTCAAAACCACAATAAAGTCTGGAATTTAGACTTCAGTTCGACATATTGTTCTGACTGATTATCAGTTTGATAGCTCTGATCTAACTAATGAATATGTACATTTTACAGTTAAAGTAAGGAAATAAAGCTGAACATTAGTTTACTTTGCTCATGTGAGACATTTTTTAAGTCATGACAAATTTATCAAAAATATTTAGTAATACTTTATAAACTTCTAATTGAATTCTCACAGTTATAAACACATAACTTTAGTAATTATTATATTTGTTGTAATGATGCTTATGGAATATGAAAAAAACAACAACGACAATAGAGTATATTATATTAGACATATAAAATACTTTTAAGTTAACGAAGTTATCATTTTAAGCAAGAGGTTTTAAAAAGCACTTTTAGACGCTCTGAAGTATTCTCTAGATGACAATATTTTAATCAATTCCACTCTTATTCTGTTTTTTTTTTCCTATTTTTATTAATCTACTTCTAATAGATTCACCCATCCATTTTTAATTTGTCTTTATTCTTTTCTCTTTTAACTTTTCTTATCTTCCATTTTGTCTGTCTCAGTTATACATTCGGTTTTTCTTTTAGTAAACATTTACATAGTGAAATTCTGTTGTTTTTTTTCTATTTTAACAATCGACATTTACATATGTAGGTTTTTTTACGCTCTTTCTCTTTATGATGTAATAGTGAACACTAGGGGAAAATGAAAAAGAAAATATGAAACGAGAACCGCAAATTTTCGGGAACATCATCAAGATAGTAGTAGTAGTAGTGGTAGTAGTAGTAATGCATCTTTTTTCTCCCTTTTCTCAAGTGACTATACACAGTTCGTCGTACATTTATATTCTATTCATGAACATAGTTTTTTTCTTCTTGACTTATTGCATGCTTTACCAATCAACAGTAGCAGAGTAAAGAGAATTATCAATTGTTGTTGCTGTTCTGATTATAAGTATTAAAATACAAAAAAGAGAAATATAAAAGCCACACTGACATTTTTCTTCCTGTTATGAAGAGAATAATTAATTTGTATAAAAGTATAATAGAAGAAAAAAAAATATCCTGAAATAAGAAGAGAAAAAAAAAAAAAACTACTCGTTTTTGTGTTTATTTCTGTGCGTTTAGCTATTTTATTTCTTTTGAGATAATTGTTTGAGATTTTCATATATGTCTCCGATTTTTTTTATAGGACTAAAGATAATATGATTTATCAAGAAATATTAAGGGCATCGTTCAAATCATTTAGTCATGATAAAGTTCAACTAAAGATAAATTTCTATTTTTTATACGTTCAAAAATGATTTACCCTTTTTAAGATTTAATGTTTCATTAAAAATATAAAATACAGAAATATTTGAACGCTAAAGTAGCTATCTAGAGTCAGTAAGAATCATACTGTGTTATACTAGAGGGAATATTTGTGTTTTTCTTCTTTCTTTATCAGACGCAATATAATTAACCATTCTATCTTCTAAAATAACCTAGTAAATACTTTCAAGTGTATATGAACTAATACTATCAATTGTTAATACGAATAAATGAGAAAAAAATGAGCTATTTTTGCACATAGGTAAGTATAGAAGACTAGATCAAGCATAAACAATTTTTTTTGTAAAAGAAAGTAATGAAAAAAACATCGTTTTTTAATCAAACAATAGAATGTTTGCTCTATACAAAATAGAAGAAAAATAATGTGACCTATTTCAACTAATATTGACAATATTAGATATTATAAATTGTGCTGTCTGCCGTTATATATTTTCGATTGTATTTCTTTAATATCTCTCTATTAAACTGTTATTTATTTATGGAGAACTGTGACGAGGATTAAAATGTTGTGAAAGATTTAAGAAAATTGAAAGTTAACTACTAAATATTGACAGAATCTCAAATCTCAACAATTATACTTGATATACCTATAGAGAACGATTATTTTGAGTTCTAACAAAACATAATTTATGTAAATGCTTTGTTTCTCTTTTCTCTTTCCTCTAGCTATTATTACAATCTGCACGCGATAACGATGATTTCAATTCATCGTATTTAGACGCCAGTGAACAAACGTCAAATCTAACTAGTGTTTCTAACAATGATATATCAAAAATTAATAGTTCTAATGGAACTGTAACGAAGAAAAACGTTTCATTTGATCTTTCTTCGTCACCCAAACGAGCATACATCGGTTCAAATCGTTCAAAACCCTTTTCAAATAATTATAAACAGCAAACGTATCAGTTCGAATCAAATCTACCATTTTCAACTACATCATTATTATCAAATGAGAACTCGAATGAAACCTCGATAAAAGAAGAAGAGAAAATCAAACGACTAATACCGCCACAACAACAACAACATTCGTCTCATTTCTCTCTTTCTTCAGGATTCTTTTCTCCTCCTCGTCTCACTTTTTCTCCTTCTTCTCATTCTGATTCTGATACGACTACTCATTTTCAACAAGAAGAACAACAGCAAGAACCTTCAAATACTTTTCCTGCCAAGAACATTAATAACGACGAAGACAAAAACAATAACCATCATCATAATCATCAAATAATAACTAACAGTCAAAATACAAAACAATCACTTTTTTCGCACCATAATCACAATAACGAAAGTACCAATAGTATTAATAGCACCAATAGTATAGACGATTTCAAAGTAAATAAAAGAGAAACCTTTGATGAAGTCGATGATGAAAATCAATTTTCAAACGATATTAATTTAACATCAACACCCACAAGAATATTATCGCCAAGAAATAATGATTTAAATCAACCATACTACAACAGTTACAATATGTCATCACGTTTTATTTCACCTTCCACCTCTTATGATCATAAGATATCCGATCAAAATAATAAATATATTATACAATTAAAAACAGACGAATTTGACGAGAAAGATTTCACTCTAACAAAACGTCAAGCAGTTGGACACTTGATTATTGATGCTAAACACTATGAAGAAGATCAACTTGGAGGCTATATAAGACGTGAACTGCACAAAATATTTCCTATTCCAAAACATATTGATATCAATAATCATCAATATTCATACAATAGAAACATGAAAGAATTGACGATAGAACTACCTCATTTACAACAACAACAGGATTCATATTTAAATTCATCGTATTTATCATCCGTACCTCGTACTGGCGTTGGCGATCAACGTTCAAGTGGCGAGTTTTTGACAAGTTCATATCGCACAAATAATGATCTGAATTTAACCACAAATAGTAATACAAGTGGTATTGGCACAAATGATACATCAGCAGCATCGAAAAATATCATAACAAGTCATTATGAACCAGCATCATCAATATTAACATCATCATCATCATCATCAGCCAAACCATTTGATTTTGATTTATTTCATCGAAGTGTATTTCGACCACAAATTGTTTCAACATCACCATCTACTGATACAAATGATAAAAAAAAATTAGTCATGAATTTAGATTTAAGCGATTATACCGCAGAAGATATTAAAGTATCAATTAAAGATCGTGATTTGATTGTTAAAGCTGAACGTAAAGTGGAAACAGATACACGAAAATCACGTGCATCATTTTATCAATCAACAAGTTTACCACCACAAACAGATATTGAGAATCTAAGATCAAATTACATGGATGGAAAATTAGTTATTGAAGCACCATACCTAGAACATTATAATCAACAACAACAACAACAACATCGAGCTGATAATCCACCTTGGTAAGATTAACTATGTTTAGAAACATAAGATACGTTATGCACGCTTTTTAAAAGCAAAATTTTTAGCTAATTCGAGAAACATTCAGAGTAGATTCCCCTAATTAGAGTTATTTTTAGAAGATTTTTTGCATTATAGCTATTTTAGCTATTTTTATTCTTTGCTTAAAATGCTTCCTCTCACGTCAAGTTACTCCCAGTCTCTTGACATAGTTGCTTTTACTTAGTAATGCTTATTTTCTCGCACGCTGTGTGAATATGAACTGTTTTCCCACCTAACTATAGTTCAAATTTTGTAAATTTTTTTTGTAAATGTGTTCATTTGTGGCCAATTAATTATAATGTTTATAAAATTTGACTTCTGCTGCTGTATTTCTCTTAAATGATCAATGAGAATAACATTGTTGTGTTTAGTCATCTGTGCATTATTATTCATTAACGATGTTCTTCTCGTGTATTTTATTTTTAATTCACATATAATACCAATTTGCACGAGTGATATTAATACGTAGATGCACAAATGCACAACAAATGCACCCTGTTCACAGTTACGTCTCAGATGCCTCTTTTTTTAACTTAAAGATGGAAAACAAAATCTCAACTTTCGATAGAAAAAAAATGCTCCTCTAATTTTCCGTCACTGGAATAAACGAGACAAAAAAATCAGACGAAAAACGTTGTTATTTGTTTTGAGTTATATTTTATGATAAAACCTAACTCCCTAGACAAGAATAGAGCATCTAGATCCTGTACTTTATTTTTTACCTATAGCCGAATGTGCCAATTGCTACTACGAGTGTCAAATACCCTAAATAGTTCAACTTTTATGGACATGACATGAATGAAGTGCGCTTGAATCTTAAAAAAAAATCACACGTCATGTTGGCTTGAAAACTAACCATAGAATCATGCACACAGTATGTTGAATAACATTAGCCACGTTTTCTTTTTCTAAGACGTCATATGGCACAAGATGGATTCATATTATTGATTCATATTATGCAAAACACTCAACCATACCTAACTCTTGAATAGAAATATTTGTATCACTTCGCAAAGTTTGACCTATGTATCATGCTTTAGACAATTTACATTCTTTTTACGTTGTCCCATGCTGCTGAATAGATTGAATTATTAATTCAAAATACTGTTAAAAAGATATTTCTTCTGTTCTATCTCCAACACCAAACTAGTGACGTCTATCTGATGATACGTTTGACACATGATGCCTCAATTAAAAAAATGAGGTGATGGATTTTTGCAAATTCTTCAGTATTATTCGTGAATTAAAAAAATTGCGATTTTGTAGGTGAAAGGAAAGTTAGTTAGGTAGTGGGGGATATATCATATTTTACAAATGGTACAAATTCAAAGATGGACTGTTATGTCTCAAATCTTCAGGTGGGGATAGACACGGCTGAGCCAGTCTCCTCCTTTGTGAAAATGATTTTGTTATCGTACACCAGGGCCGGGAATACTTTTGAAAGCACTTTGACTGTCCTATGTTAAAAACTACAAAATCTCACAAAAAAGGTATACCCCTTCTTATGAAAATAACACAGTGCACGGTCAGATTTAGTGCATTGTACAAAAATTGGTCGCTATTTATTATATGGTCAATAGAAAAACTTTCTATTGCAATACTCGTGCATATACTGCGACTCTATGTAATTTCATTTCTTTCAGGAACACTGTTGCTGAATCTCAACGATTGACAACGATCGATAATCCACATCAACACAGAACAGAAAAAGTAACAGAAATTCTTCATCTTAACCGAATAAAATAACAATTTTAAATGCATTCTTAGTAAACTAGATTAAAATTTCTCTACTTCTTCTTATCTCATAAAACAAATTATTTCTTTCTGTGTTAAAGAGAAGAAGGGTTATAACCGGTGAACATGGTTTGTTTCAAACAAATCTGTTTTCACCATCCGATCTTCTCGTTTTTAAAAGAATGAAGAGAATAGAACATTTTTCAGTTGTAATATCTATTATACGTCCTTCGAAAGACACAAATGATAACTGAAATTTAATGAAATCTATTTTTAGTATATTTTTTTCTTTTTTCTATTGAAGTTTGAAAAGCTTCACACTTGTTTATGATTATTATATTATGTGAAGTTTTATATCGAATTTTGATAGACAATGACAAATAAACAAGAATGAAACCTCCAATTTTCAATGTAAAAATCTAATCGATATCTGCCTTAGTTTCTCTCATCCTGGAATAGAACGGCATAGAAAACTTTGCTATGTTGACATCTCGAATGTTATAAATTTTTCATGTTATTCGAACGATTTCTTCTGACCAAAAGAAGACTAAACTCTTTCACAAAAATATTGCATTTGTAATAGGCTGTCACAAATCATCAAAACTAATAACACAGAAAAATAAAAAAAATACAATACAGTACACATTGAGACATTCAAAAAAACGAAGTTACTGAGTACTTAACTAGTATGAATTTGGATACGTACTTGGGAATAAAATACGAAGAGTAAGACTTATGTACTGAGTTTAGCCAAGTTTAGGGTCATAGTTGTTTAATACACTTGAATAATTAACGGATCTAAGTAAGTTAAATATGTTGTTTTTATATTTAAACTTACCGTTGTTTGTACTGATTAAATGTGTTTTATAACCGCTAAAATTAGTAGTAAGAACTTTTCTGTAACTCAAAAACAGCAGTGATAAAACAAATTTATTGTCTGAGAGATAGAGAACTAAATCTTTTATCAATATGCAGGTATAATTTCTCTTCTATCTATGTGTATGAATTTAAAGTATTAACTCTTAATAGTTACTGGAATAAAACTTTTTTATGATCGACGATCTCTCTTGAATTCTGAGATTTTTTCAGAAAAAAATATTCATAATTCAAGCTAGAAATATGTTTTTATTCAAATTTCAAGGAATATTTACTTGTATAGATGTCGATTATTTCCTCGGAGTACGAAGTTTTAACAATTGTACAACTAAAGAAATTCATTCAATTCAAAGATGTTTGTCCTCCTACTTGATAATGTCATTGAAAAACAATTTCGTAAAATTTTTACATAAAAAAGCTTTTATGTAAAATGATTTTACGAAAATGTTTTTTTAATTATATTAGATATACTTAGTTTTTATAAAAAAAAACAACAACATTAAAAAGTCAACGAATGTCAATATAATTGATAATGACGTATTTATCGTAGCCCATGAGTTACGCACAAATGCTGGTGATGCTTTAATTCACAGCTTAAGGTATGAGAATGATCTGATAAATCATTGTTATTGAAAGAATTATTTAATAATTCTGTTTGAGCCATACTGAATTGATGACGACAATGACAAGGACAGAGAAGTATTAACAAATTGAGAAATAATAAGAGAAATTAATCTTTTTTACATTTACCAGTTATCAGCACATATTATCATCCACATATACTTATATATTCTATGATTATTAATAGAAACATTTTAATCAAAAGTCTGAGGAATCTTATTTTATATCGAAAATCTAGAGAAATCGACATTCTTTTTTAAAAAAAAGTCATTCTGCTGATATTGTTCCTCATCGGATATGTTAAAAAAGTTTTGTCTTCATTATTTTGTTAACCACAAAACGATTTCAGTTAAATATTTGAAAATTTTCAGGTATAAACGTGCAATATAAATATTTCCTGATTTAATAATGGTCTACCAGAGTCTTCAGATCTTTGTTAGACCTAACAGCATAGAGCTAAATTTGAACATTTTTATACCAACTTTTGCTCATACCAATATCAATAAATTTTGATTATTTAATATCTATCTCTCCTACAAATATGATGCTGCGACACTACTACATATTTTCTATAAAAAGAATTAGGTAACAAATTTCACATAAAAATGACTGATAAATAGATACAAAGAATAAATAAGACATGCATTCTATATGCATATCGTTGCATTACTTTTTCTTTGAGACGTTGAATTTGTATGAAGAGGTAACGTATTTTGTTTAGATACCAACTTATATTGTTCATTTCGTCGATGATGACGATAGCGTTGTTTTCGTTTATTTTCTTTTATTCCATATTGAACAGTTCGTATTAATTTTGAAGATATTTTACAATCTGCTACATCATCATCATTAACTTGGTTTATATGATCAGTTGAATCATCTGTTGATGATATTATCATTGTTATCGAATCTGATCTTTTTCTCATACATTGTTCAGCTACCATCCCAAATGATGTTGCAACATTATTAATATTAACATTTGTATTATTGTACAATTCGGAATCGTCTGTACGCCAATGTGGCAATGGTGATGAATACCACGATGGAATATTCATTGTTTTATTATTAAAATTCGTTTTAGACATGTTGACTTCAGTATGTTGATTGTCAGATTTTGTTCGATGTAATCGTGAATCTGTTACAGCATAATTTGAAGATGATAGACCAGCATCATACGACATAGAAATTGTGTTATATTTTAAATGATTATCTGTATCAGGTGAATAGTAAAGAGCATCATCACTTGATAATTGTTCATCAGTTGTACTACAAAATCCTGTAGATAATGATATTTTCTCAAATTCATAATCTAAATCTTCGATACACGCATTTTCTAATTCATCGTCATTCAAAATATCAAGCAGTTTTTTCTTAACAAGCTCATTGGTAATCAAATTATTTTTTTGTTCCACTATATCTGTAAGATAAATATTATTTGAACGTTTACCTATAAACAAAAATTTTTAATTAGATTAGAAAAAAGGTCGACTAATTATAATTATCTTTACTTACTGTTCTCATTTTGAACATAACACGTTTGAAAATCTTTATAATTGGTGTGTGTCTGTAAATTAGTGTTTGGACAAGAAATATTATCTTCTGATTTTCGCCTGTCACAATTATCAACAGCTGTCGATTCACTACGCAATAAGTCATAATTTTGTAATGATAATGACGAATGTGTTGGTTGCTGAATAATACCATCATTACTAGTTGCATTTTTGTTATGTAAACAATTTGAACTAATAAAATATTTCAGATCGTTTACCGAATTACTTAATTTTCGATTAATAGAATGATATTTCTTTTTACCACGACTATTTGTCCAATAAGTACGATAGATCGGTTGACGATTTATTCTTAATTCACTAATATACCATTTTGTCTTATTACAAAATTCTACTTCATGTGTTAAACATACATTATCTGCTTCGCCATCATTCATTTCCATCGATTCTTGTTCACCATACGCTGTTACATTTTCAGATTGTGTGGTTTCACTTTGAGAGCTTGACTTTGGACTATTGTTAGCTGTAAAAGAGAGTGAAGACGAATAGATAGCTTGCCACAGTTGACATCGATAATTTACAATGTTATAAGACAAATTGTATAACTTTGTAGAAAAAGCATTTAATGTTCTCCGTAATCAGAACAGCTCATTTTTCATCGTAGTCCAAATAAGCTATCTCTAGTATCTTCGTGATTATCTCCTAAAATATAATTTCTTTTGGACAATTATGAATTCAACGTCCATTTTAGCTCATATTCCTAGTCAGAAGCATCTCTAATATCTGAACCTTCATAAACTTATGGCTAACATTCGAAATAAGAGGTTCTAATACTGTGAGTTTACACAATGTATCAAGTTAAACGCGCTCATAAGTTATTAAAACTAACAGAACAACTCTCGAGGGTTTATAAAGATTTTATTTAAAAACGGATGGACTTTACGATTATTTAGCTAATTTTAGAGCAGAAACAAGTCGAGTTCTCTTTTAAACTTAAAAACAAACCGAATTTAAAATAAACGACAAATTTTGTAAATTGTAACAGCTCTAAGTCGAAAAGAGTGATTTTAGACAAATACAAAATATTTTTCTCGAAAAAGGTATATTCAAGAGGGAAAAGCACTACAAGGCAAATATACCCATTCTGAAATACGTCTATTCTGGAATGGCATTCCATTTTTTAGAAGCCTAGCTTAGCCGTATGTAGACCAAGATTTAGATCAAAACAGAAAAAATTTCTTATATTTCAGAATGGCAGTCCACCATTCTAGAGTGGCATACAGCCATTCTGGAATGGCATTTCAAAAATTTTCTACCCATTCTGGAATATGACTTTTACTCTTTGGTTATGTTTCTTGAGAACTTGAATCTAAAAATAATTGGATATATACTTTTACAAATTTTTAGCCATGCCAAACCCAATGGGCATCTATCTATGTAGGTGCCACATAACTATTTTCCTGTGTACGACACTTTTTATTATAACTATCACTTTTTTGACTAATGTAACTGAGATTCTTAATATATCGTACATAGAGAACTAGTTTTCAGATGCTTGAAGAGTCCAGATCTTGAGCCGTAAAAAGCTGATATTAAATTCTTTGGTTTCTCAGAAATCTTACACTAATTTTATGGAAGTGAAGGAGCTTATGAAGAACTAAAAATTAGATCCCTATATGAGACAATTGACGAATTAATTTTCTTTTGTTTTTCGAGTTCTTCAAAAGAACACCTATTTTACTATAAAAAGTTATACTTCAATAGAAAAGCAACAGGAAATTTCAGATAGTTCCGTCATTAATAAGTTCCATTGACCGTTGTAAAATTCCTATCGTGCTCACTACACATACCAATAAATGATTTGAATTCTTCTGCAACATCGTATGTTAAGTCGTCTAGACAATGTTCTACAGCATAGTTTAAAATTTGTATACGACTATTGCTTGTTGTATTTACAATGTTCGGTTTTGAAACACCTGTATAAGAAAATTTATTGTCTAAAGATTCTATGACTTGATTTGCAATTGTTGTTATTAAATTAGTGTTACGCTTTGACTGTTGTTGTTGATTATTCATCATTGAAGATAATGGTGTACATGATACGCTTGTGGGAAAGTTGATATCAGAATAGAAGGGCGATGATTGTGTTATTGGCGATTGTAACGATGATTTTATCTTCTCTTGTGAATACTTTGGCACTAATAATGATGGAACGTGATTATTTGAAGGTAATTCGTCGCATTTGTTCTGAACTGAGGATAATGATCCTAAGATCAAATTTCTTTCGTCTAGAAATGTAAGTCAACAAAAAAGAATTATTTTCTTTCTTGTCAACATCTTATTTTATCGAATAAGAAAAATAGTGTATATGACAAAAACTTAAGGATATTCAAAAAATATGTTCGTTTTGCTCTTAACCCATCGCATTTTACTATTTCATACGAATATAACATTTTTCTTTTACTTCAAGTATGATCGGTTAGTGAAATCGGTCAGTGATAAATATTTATTAATCTACTGTTATGGGTTGTTCGACGGGTTTTTTGGTCATTCTTAGACTATTTTCATGCACCAAAAAAGGTTCCTGGTCGTTTCATAATGAAAAACCCTTTTCCGTTTTTTGATTTACCCACATTTTTTAGAGTGTACTGTGTAAAATTCTTAGTGTTTTATAGCATTTGAAAGTTCTCAGTATATATGAGACGCCACGACATTTGCTTAATGATATTCATTGACATCTGCACATGTCCTTCTGTTAATCGAAAGAAGCTTACCGAGTGATGCAATTTTCTAATGGCAACTGGTTTTAAATTCTTTCTTTAATCACGAATAAAGTTTCGGAGTTGAATGAAAAATTATTTTCTCAAGAAAAATAATAGCTGATTAGAAAATGAAAGTGTACACTCTAAACAAGAAATGCGACTGAGGATCAAGTTTAATCACATTAATGTGTCTTTTTTTTCAGAGGAAGAAGACACACTAATGTGACTAAACTTGATCCAATCGCATTTTTTTTAGAGTGTAAAATAACCCTGATACGACTTATAAAAAAGATCCCAGCAGCTATTTTATACTCCATCTGTAAACGATTAATTCGATAATTAACTCGACTGAAGTATAGAAATACATTTACATACCATTTTTTTTCAAGGGCATCGTTTGCTCATTTGGGAGTGACATATTGATTGCCTGTGTTTCATTAAATACTGAAAGATTTTTTGGACAAAGTATTCGATCATTGTCTGTAAGAATTGACAATTTACTCGAGTTACCGTTAACCATCACGGAATGAAACATTTTACCTGGTACGTTTCTAATGGATAGTAATGCAGGTTTTTTAATCTGTTCGACAGTTTTTGTTCGATTTGATATTGCTTTCTGGAGATCAATGGTTGTTGGCAATAACACATTATTATTTGAGTTGTTTTTTAATTCTTGTGCACTTTTATTAACCCTAATATCTTCATTTAATTCATTTTTGGCATCAACACTTTCTTGTTGGGATTGCTGGTGTTGTAGTGTACGGCAAAGTGATAGTTTTGGGAAAGACGCAAAAAGTGCACCGGAATTTTTTAAAATCGAATTCTTTGTGTTGTTATTGAAATCTAATGATAACGCTGTTATATTCGATGTTTTTGATTCTAAAGACATCTCTGTCGCCGTTTTCATTGTCTATAGTGTATGAATATATCATGAACATCCATTACGTTATCAGATAAACAAGTCTCGTAGAAACTAAACTGAAAAGAAAGAAATTTCGGTTATAATTATGAAATACTACCCCCGTATAAGACATTCCATTTATACTGGCATTAAACTTATTATTTGATTTTATTCATACATTCATAGACATTGAGTGAAGGATAATGCTGAAGTTTCTGTCCTAGACATAACAAGGATATATTGACAATGTATCACTGAGATCGATATAGAAAACACTAATCAATTTACATCTTCTTCTAAATTCTGATACCAATATCAGAAAGATTTTTCAAAAGATGTTCGATATAAAAGCAATTACCTTCTTCTACTATGCAACCTATTAATAATCAGGCACGACAAAGTCAATTAATAATGAAAATATTCAATGCTATTAATATGCATTGTTGAATATTGTCTAAAACTGGGATCATGATCAACATATATATCAACACAGAAAGAATTTTTCTTTTCGCTTTCTTCTCGTATTGTCCCTGATTGTTGGAAGATAAAGACAGCTGAAATCTCCTAAGGATAATCTGTTTATTTAGAGCTTTAACAAGATAAAAATATCTTCAAACATTACGTCATCTACGTTCCCATGTATCATTTAGTTTGATTTATGTTATAACGATAGTTTATTCCATCACTGCTTTCTCTTTGGTTTAGCCGTTCCCTATATCCTCCTTATATCGATCTATATAGCCAACTATATATTGTATTACCCTTTCGAGTGCTTATTATTACTATAAAAAGTAAAAAATATTGCTCATAGTCTTTGATCCCTATGTGATTTGCTTTTCGATATCAGATATTTCCTCGGCAATAGAGAGCTGTAGAACGACAAAACTCCACTGTTTCTTCTTCTTCTTTTCAGATAAAATGTTCTTATATATGCATATCTAACTCTGTTTGCTAGTAAAAGTTTTCAAATGAACAATCTTCCTTCAATGATCTTATGAAATGTTGCTACTTAATAATGTACTTTTACCCTTTTAAATAGTTAAAATAGCCTAAAGGCTTAATTCTATGAAAATGAAATAGTCTTATCTTAATTGAGTTCAACAAAAACGATGATTATTTTTACTTACCCAATCAATACATGACAAATTATTCAGTCGTTGTCATATGGAAGAAATAAATGAATGAATATGGCTATATATAAAACATTCAGAAATATTCATTTTGAACTCACTCACACGCACAATTGTATTTGTCACAAATATTTATATCAGGTTGTTGTTGTAGTATTCAGAGAAAAAAGAATGAATAAAAAAGTTTATGTGTATGCTTAAGATATTGGGTCGGTCACAAGCATATGTACGAACAAAACTGGATATGACAATAATTATCTCTGTATATCTGAATGTGATTATGATATAGTGATGAGACAGAACAAAAAGAGAAAGAGAGAGAGAAAAAGAGAGATTGTTATATAAGGTGCCTATTCATGAACGTGATTCATAAAGAAAGATATTTTCAACTTAGCAAAAACTAAAAACAGTATTATATCTAAACGTGTTTACCAGGCTAACAAATAGTCTTAAGAGACTGTCTAACCTAGGAATAATCATTCAATATCCATGAGACATTACTTTTATATATTGTGTCAGTGTCTAAATCATCTTCTTCTTGATTGTATGTGTGTGTATTAGTTCTATTTCCAGATTATTTGAAAATATTGTATGAACATAGACATACTGTCAATCAATATTACGTAAAACTGAACTAAGCATAAGATGTCACATACACACACACATTTTTTTTATCTATTTGTGAGAATACATAGACTAGTATAGTTGTGGTATTTATCCATCACCACAATAAAAAAGAACAATTTATAGCTGATGATATAATTTGGACAACAGTGAGAAAAATAATAATGTTCATATTTGTATTGATAATAATAATTTATATATCGGTCACTCAAGCAACAGAGAAAAAGAAAGAATATTCATATGAATTCGCTTTTCACTGTTGTTGATATAAGTGCAGTGATTAGACATCAATATTTCTTTTATATATGAAGGAATTTGGATGTAATCAGTGATGAACAACTATCGCCGGAAAAATCAATTTTTATTTGTGCAAACACAACAATCATAAATGAATAATGCTATAGGTTGTTTTGTGTGTTAGAAAATAATTACAGATTTAGTTTTTTACCCATAATCAACGAATATACAAGATAGCGTAGTTTTTATTCGAAGTTCATTGCATAACTGAAAAGAAAGAAAGCGAACTAATTCGTCTACCATTTCCTCTGTAGAGTAATATGTTTTGTTGATTAAATTTTATTGTTATTGAATTATATGTTCTCTGTAAGTGTCCTCATTTGCCGTATCAAGACATATACTCAATTTTTGTTGTTGTTGTTATTATGTATATAGTTAGGATATAGTATAAAGTCGACCATCTAAGAGACGACTAACTTAATGCACAAGAGTGCAAAATATCCATTTCAAATATGAGGTTTTTTAAACTTATGTAGACTCGTTAGTATTGGCGAATACTATCGAGAACGTTACAGTGTGCCTATTCGAGTCCATGTATGAACATTTTCTCTTCCTTTTAAGAAAACGTCTTGTAAACAAGATCGTGAAGGGAAGTGTTCTCTGAGTGAATGTAATCCTGGTATCCAGGAGGAAACACATTTTAGTATTTTAGTTTTGATGCCCGTAGGTTGAAATATTGAAAAACAATGACATGTTTTGAAAAAAATTGTTTTGTTTTACATTTTACAATTTTCTTATGCTTAACCAAGTGTGCCGAAGGTATTAAACGCTTATTTATAAAGCAGACGGTTTCCTACAATGATTGAAAGAATTAATTAGCCTACAGGCTAATTAATAAAATTTTTATTATTCATTAATGCAAATTTATTCTCGAAATAAAACTACGCACAAAACTGCATTGAATGATGTACTGCATAATACCTGAGAGGTCAGTTGGTTTTGCTATATAATGTACGAAACGACGAACAATCCTATTCATGCACTCATCTTGTAGTATCGTTGTTAGGCTACAATATGTAACATTTGATTTTAGCAAATTCTATGTTAAAATTTTCATCATTGTTTTTTGATAAAGTACTTCTGTGTCTGAGTGAAAGTTAAGCAATCATATCTCAGGTTTTTTATTAAACAATCCATCTGCTTGAAACTCTCAGAAAAACTATTCTTATGGCATGATCAAAATGCCATCTAATTTTTAAGACACAAAAGACAAACCGGTTGGGCTGTAGTGCTTCGCATCTTATTACATCTTAGAAACGTTAATGTGTAGTCTGCTATTAATATTTTGTTCAAAAACATCAAAAAAATATGGACAGATCATGCAAAAATCTACGCTACTACCACTGCCTGATCCGTCATCAGTTGTCAGATAACTACGTCAACAGAAGTTCGCAGTAGAAGAATAATAACAACAGTTTGATTATTATACCATCGCAGCGTCAACAACAGACACAATAAAATTGTTTTTGTGCCTTAAAAAACAAATTTTTGAACAAAAAAACTAGATTTTTTTATTTTGTATAAGTCTAACAACAACTTCAGTGGAATAGAAAAGAATTATCTATTCACATTCTACTAATGAACTGAGTGATGCTTCCATAAAAGCAGAAGGGGTCTAAATCAAAATTGGAGGCAAATGCGTAAAATTCTTCACACCAAAATCAGTTCACACCAAAATCAGCTGCAAAGAAAATTCCTGCACTTTCTTGTGAAGAAAAAAATAAACTTGATTTAGAATTGTGGAAAAGTGCTTTTTCGTATTCAGTATGCTCGATAACCCAGTGGATTTTCTGTTTTTGGCAAGGGGTACTGCCAAAAATTCAGAAAAAATTTTCAAACAAAATGGCGAAAAACATTTTCATGCGAAAATAATATTAATTTCAAAATTTTTCTTAAACTTTTGACAGTACCCCTTGCCAAAAACAGAAAATCTACTGGGTTATCGAGTGTACTGAATACGAAAAAGCACTTTTCCCCAACTCTAAATCAACTTTATTTTTCCATCTGTGATATAGCTGTTTTCTGGAAAAATCTCGGAGCAGATGACCAAATCGAAGCAAAAGTGTTTCAAAACTGAATTATAGATTTCTTATAGCAGAGGAAGGTTAAACTACCTCGGCCACTCACTATGGGGGAACCTCTGAATGAACATTATGTAATTATATTTTGAGTTTGATTTATTGTTAAACACGATGATTTGCGAATGGCTCTATCAATTGTGTGGACATCTATCTATATTGGACGGATTTCTCTTACACCTTCACTGTAATCGATAACCATAATAACAGCGAAAATACTGGCAGCGAAAAATCAATTACCTTCTTGTCTAGTCATATACAATTTATATATATTATTTTTGTATATCAATAGAAAAAAAATATACGTGTATTAGTAATGCTTGATAAAATAATCTATAGACTGTCTTTAAACACATCATAGATAACATTTGCTAATTAAACTATTTATCCAATTTTTAATTGTAAATTTCATCAACTTTATTCTATGAATTGTAATAATTGCAGTAGGTTAAAGTAAGTTGTATTCGACAAAAAGTTTCGACAAACTGTAGGAACATATTGTTATTCCAAAAAATAATGGTAAATTTCGTTCAAAAAAACCCAAAATCACATCTTTTGCTTAAGAATATTAAAA